TTCCTCCTCTCTGCTTGTGTCTCACCTGAGGCCTCAGCTGGTGGGATGGTGTTACCTACAAGCAGGTCTTCTTCCTCATTTACTCTCTGGAAACACTCACAGACATGCCCAGAGTGTGTCCCCTCAGGGGTTCTAGGTCCAGTCGACACTGAAGATTAGCTGCCACTCTATATCCTTCAACTGATGAGTGGGCAAACAAAACGTATTCTTGTGCAGTGGAATATTACTTAGCAGCAATACCCACGTGAATCAGAAAACATACTGAGGAAAAGAAACCTGTTACCAGGGACTACAAATTGTTCCGTTCCATTTCCTGAAATGTCTGGAAGACTCAGATCCACAGGGAAGGGACTGAGAAGAGAGTGGCACTGACAGCTAGTAGATTGAGGGGTTTTGTTGTTTTTGGTTTTTGTGGTGGTGGCGGTGTGAGGAAAATGTTCTAAAGCTCAGTAGTGATGGTGCTCCCCGACTTGTAAATACGGGAAAGGCACAACCAGTGAAGTCTGGGATGAAAGGAGAAGTTCATGGTATGCGGATCCTAACTGAACGCTGTCCGAGACAAGGTGTAGATGCTCAGGACAGTTCACTTCAGTTTCTACCTGGAGGTATGAAAAAATCCGTTATTAATACTTTTTAAAACAAAAGTTCATACTGTTACTATCTTATAATGCTAACCTTGCTTATTTGAAAAATAAATTACTTGAGCTGAATAAAAAAATAGTAAGTCCAGAATAAATACTAGAGGTAATTTTGACTTGACTCTGGAATAAGTGATTTTTTTGTAAAGGTAGGGTTTTGCTCCACAGCCCAGATTGGCACTGCACTCTCCTACTGCCTCAGCATCTCAGTTGCTGGGATCTCACACCTGCAGTCACCACTATGTACTGCATGATCATATGCTCTAACGTTTTTTTCATGTATAACATGGCTTCTGATGAGGAAAGGCTCAGAAATAGAAGTTTCCTTTTTTGTTTTTTGTTTTAGACCCTCACATAGTGAAATATCTCAGTATTGCCAAATAAGCTGCGCACTGAGAAACATTTCAGAAAGCAAGAAGAGCAGTAGCATCAGCTGCCTGGCTTCTGCCCACTCTAGAACCGCCATTGAATTACTCCAGCGAAATCTGAGTTTGGAACTTTATAGCAAGTTTTTGACAAACCTGAAACATATTAACAAGTCAGAGTAGCAGCGGACCTGAGAGGCTTAGGTCTCCTGCTCACTAGCAGTTCACTGTCACAATTTCTCAGTTGAATATGGCTCGTGGAAAGAATTCTGAGTAAGTTAGCCTTTAGCCCAAGGACATGGTGTGGAGCAGCCATCTTGAACAGACGTGTGGCTTTGTTAGGAAAGAGTGTGCCCTCCTGTGGTCACTGGGAGCAGGTCAATCAGCCTCACTTTGTGGCTTCACACTGTTCATGGCTCCATGAAAGAGCCACCCATACTCTGAATTTCTTTTCAATAAACACTGGAGACTTGTTAACAGGCCTGATTTTCTGATGCACAGAGTGTGAGAGCACTACCGTGTTTTATATGCAGCTGTTCCGAAGGTGTGGCTGGAAGGGTGGCCTGTAAAGGAGCAGGATGTCAGAGTGGGTGGTGAGACCCTATTCTGTGAGAACTCCTGTGGTGGGAGTTGGAGAGAGCCATGTGTGACCTCCAGGTACTCCTCGCCCTTGTTTACAGATGCTGCCACAGTGGTGTTCTGGGTTCATCCTGGGTCATCATTTATGTAATATCTCATCCCGGAGAAAGGAACAAAATTTATTCAGAGCTGTGGCAACGTCTGTCTCACTTAAAAGAAAGTAACTTTGGCTTGAACTGTCCAGATCTGGTTTCTGTCACCTCCAAATGAGCATCATGAGTATTTGTTGGTTATGAAGATTATACATTGAAGAATTTTTTAAAGATTTCTTTGTGTATATTTGCCTGCATGTATGTCTGTGCTGTGTGTGCCCACGAGGCCAGAAGAGGGCATTGAATCCTCTGGAAGAGGAATTACAAATGGTGGTAAGCTACCATGTAGGTGCTAGAAACTGAACTCAGCGTCTCTGGAAAAGCATCCATTGCTGAGCCATCTCTTCAACCGCTAAAGAAATGTTTTTAAATGAATTTTCCTGCAAGCTGCTTTAATTTTTAAATTTGTATAGGGAATGTATTGGTTATTTTTCTTTATTATTTGCTTTAATAAAACACTGTGACTAAGGCCACTTAAAGAAGAAAATATTTAATTGGATTTACTTTTCCAGGAGGTCAGAGTACATGATGGTAGAGTGAAGGCATGTGGCAAGAAAGCTGAGCGCTCACATCTCAAACCACAAGCAGGAGGCACCAAGTGCACTAGGGTTGCAGGAGGCTTTGAAGCCTCAAAGCCCACCCCCCACGGCACACCCCTCCTAATCCTTACCAAACAGCTGCCAACTGGGGATCCAGTATTTAAATGGCCGATAGTGGGATGGATAACATTCAAACTACCTCAGAAAGAATCTCTCTCTCTTTCTCTCAGCAGTCTCACTTTTTAAATTTTATTCATCTATCTATCTATCTATCTATCTATCTATCTATCTATCTATCTATCTATTTACTTACTTATTTACTTACTTACTTACTTATTTATTTATTACAGTTTATTCACTTTGTATCCCCACTGCAGCCCCCTCCCTCGTCCCAGTCCCACCCACCCTTCCTCTTCTCTCCTATGCCCCTCCCCTAGTCATTCATAGTGGAGGCTCTCCTTCCCTTCTAGTTGACCCTAGCCTATCAGTTCTCATCAGGACTGGCTGCATTGTCTTCCTCTGGGCAGAGGGCCGGAAACCTTATGGAAGAAGAGGGAAATAGAGTCTCACTTTTTAACCCTGGAAGTCTCCTTGAACTCATGGAGACACACCTGCCTCTCCACCCCATCAAGTAAAGCGCTAGGATTAAAGACATGTCCCGCCACAATGACTCAAAAAAAAAAAAAAAAAAAAAAGATGTGTGTGCAGTGCCTGTGTGCGTGTGTGCAGTGCACGTGTTGAGTATTTGTGTGTTGAGGTTGGAGTTGACATCAGTGTCTTCCTGTATCCCTCTCCAGCATACTTTTGGAAACAGGTCATCCTAATGCAGGGTTTACAGGCATGCACAGCTACACGCTGCTTTTCTGTGGGGCCAAGCAAGCACATCCCTAAGGGAGCCATCTCCCCAGCCTTTTGGAGAGAATGGGACTGTTGTATTGTTAGTGATGGCTGCACTTCTGGTCTATCTGCTTGGATCCTTCGCTGGTTTTCCTATATGTGCGTTGGAGGTGAGGAGTATATGTGTTGGTTTGGGTGAGGTGTGTATGCTGCATGTGCATGCTTTTATGTATGTGGACAGGGTGTGTGAGGAGCATGTGGACTATGCACCTGTGTTCAGAGACCCAGATTTGGTGGCTGGAGTCCTCTTCTGTTGCTCTCCACCTCCTACCTTGAGGCAGGTCCCTCACGGAACCCAGAGTGTGCCATGCCTGCTAGTCTGTCTGGCCAGCTTGCTCCAGGGACACCCTGCCTGGGCCTCAAGAGTGCTGCCTTTTCATTCCTGCTGGGAAGCTGAACTCTGTTCTCCCCTCACATTTGCAAAGCAAGTTCTTTACCCGTGAGAACCAGCCCCTTCCTGGTATTTTTAGTGCCTTGGTACTCTTAGAAGAGTTCCTTTGTTAACAGAATCTCCTGTCAGGTGATTGACAGGTCTTTCCAATCTGTCAATAAGAGAGTATTGGCAGCTATTTGCTGGCCACACGATAAGATCTTCCTATAATCATGGAATTCCATGTACTTTTCCTTCTAGACTGTTGTGAAAATTTAAAAATGTAGACAGCTAAAATATCATCTTGAAAAATTCTGATGCAGTTATATAGTATCTTAAATTAGTAAAGATTTACTACCATTTTAAAACCCAAATTTAAAGATATTTTCTATTAGTTTGATAAACAGTTATAAATATCCAAAATCTACTATCTGATTGATTTGTTTTGTTTTTAGGTAGGTGGCTGTAGCTCGGGTGGTATACAATTTTTAGCAATCCTCCTGGCTTCTCCTGAGTGCTTGGGTTGGTAGGCATATTCATCCCACCCAGTTTAGGAATTGGTCACTCGCTGTCCCTCCCTCCTACCCTTTCTCCCTTTTTCCCTTTCTTCTTCCCTTCTCCCTCCCTCCCTTTCTCCTTCCCTCCCTTCTTTTTTAGACACAAGATTGCATAGCCCAGGCTGTCCTTCCAGTTGCTCTGTAGTAACTGAGGGTGGCCTTGAACCTCCGATTCTTCCGCTGCCACCAGTGCAGTGTATTGCTGCAGCTCTAGGTCTGTACCACCATGCCTCCTTTGACCACGTTAGGGATGGAGCCCAGGGCCTCAGCGTGCCGTGCAGCTACTCTACCAGCCCAGTCACATCCCCAGGCTCATGAATTGTTTTTTTTTTTTTTTAATTAATTTTCTTTTTCATAAGTGGCTTGTTTTGAATGCACTGATTTCACTAACAGCATGTGGATTTGAAGGGACAAACGGAGGCTGCTTTCGTAATTAGAGTTTAATTGAAGATTTTGATGCTAATCCTCTCCTTTCCCAGCCTTTTCATGAAGAGTTCTGTAGTGTAATGCTTAAAGGTGTTAGGAATAGACTTCCTGGCTTTGAGTCCCAGTATTCCTGCTTAGCCAGCTGTATGACCAGTGCACTTCTGTTTGCTTCTGTTTGCTTCCTCATTTGCAGCATGGAAATGATAACTGGTTTTTGTCTTGTGAGTGCTGTGAGAACTGAGCGAGTATCAGGCTGCGTAGAACAGTGCCCAGTTACTGCATGATTAAGTCTATACTGGGGTCAGTGCTGGGTTTCATTACAAAGAACACAATGCTGCCTGCATGGAAATTAGATTGTAAATTTGAAAGTAAGTTGGTTTTAAAATACTTCTGTATGATTGAAAATAAACAATAACCTAAAATGTTCTTTTATACAGCTTTTTTTTTTCATGATCTTTTTTTTTCTTCTTCTTTTAGGCACGGAATGTTAACACTGGAGAATTAGCAGCAATTAAAGTGATAAAATTGGAACCAGGTAAATTATTTAAAGTTTGATGTTTCTTATTGCTACTAAGTCATTGGATATCATAGAGTAATTTTATTTTTTTATAGTTTGGTTTGTTCAAATGGTCTTTGTAAACTCAGGTTGGTTTTGAACCATTGATACTCCTACCTCGGCATCCCAAATCCTGAAATTATAGGCATAGCTGGCTAAAGCTTAACTTAACAATATTTGATTACCATTCTCTTATTTTCTCAGTGTTTTGTGTGGGAGATGGCTGTCTCCTCTTCCTTCCACCTCTCTGAGCCCAGCATACAGTTTGCTCAGGTTTTCCCAGAAAAATGATTGGTAACTCCAGGAAGGAGAGGAGGTCCTGAGGGGATTTGATTTGTTCAGAACTCCCTAGACTAATTACAACAAGTTCATATTGGCTTATTTCTTTCTGGGTGACATTGCTTTGTTATGAGAGACAAGCGTCCAGTGGGAAACACTGCCATGACGTTTGGGAAGCTGTGTCTAGCTCTTTGTGTCCTGTCCTTTTGCTGAGTTTCTCAACAGCTTAGCACCCATGTGTCATTACTATCCAGATAGTTCCTTCATACTTCAGCAGCTCCTTCAAAAACCTCCTAGGAACGCTCTGTGTGGTATATCTGCTTTGCCTGTTTCTCCTTTGTGTTCCCCGAGTCCTCAGACCTACATTTTTCTGTGCTAACTACACGTACACGCCCTCTCTCAGAACCTTCCTGTTCTCTGTCTCCTGCAGTAAGCAGACAGTTGTGCTGATGTTTGTACTCAGCCAACAGCACCTTAGGTTTTAGCTTCAGTGTGAACAGAAATCTAGTCAGAGACTTTTTTTTAGGGATGGCCTGCTTTTCCTGTGAATAACCAATAATAGTGTAGATGCTGAAGGCTGAAACCTAAAGCAACATTCTGAGCTGCAAGACCAGGCCCCTTCTATTAGACTTGACCTACCCTGGTGTAGCTCATTGGAGAACTCCTTAGAAGTACCAGTAAGATGAAATCTGAAAGATGTGTTGATTGACTGTGATTAAACCACAGGAAAACACCACCAGCACAGAACACTTTTCCAGTTATATGCAGATACAGACTGTCTCATGTACTTACCTTCTAACATCACCGGTGGGATTCCTTCAGCTTCTCTGCTGTTCAGCGTCGTTTTCATTGTTGTGGGAGTTAAACGGGCATGTCTAAAGTGCTTGAGTAGAGCCTGAGAGTCTTCTCTGTGCCCATGCCATAGGAAATGGCGGCTTTGCCCACTGTGCGACAAGTGCCTGAGCTGTGACCAGCCTTGTTTTGTTATTACTGGTTAGCCCCTAAAGCTCGCATCCACACCACACCACACCACAC